GAAATAGATTTATGTTGAGTTCTCCTTGCTGTACTTATTTGCGACACTCGATACCCGTTATACGACTAGCATACCGGGAACCCAGTAGTCACACCGGTCGCCGCTATGCGGCGCAAACGCGAAATTAAAGCAATACTCGCAGTTAAATTTCCGCCGCCGCCTCTATAAAAGGAGAGCTCGCGGAGCCCTCGGTACAAGTTCACCACCGGTCTCCTAGGAGACCAGCACGGGAGCGTGATTCAGCCTCTCGAAGCTCACACCGTTCCAGACGACGACGTGTCGGGTTTCGGCCGTCAATCGCACTCAGAGGAGAGCGCGTCGGGCTTCGACCGTGACTCCACGACACACCGTTCCAGACGATGACGTGCCGGGTTTCGGCGCCGAGCGAGCCGCCGTCCACCAGCTGAAGGGAAGAACAGCCGGCCTGCCTGGGATAGCGGACGTCAACCCGAGGGACGACGCGGCCCGGAGCCCGAATTGCGGCCTGCCGCCGCCGCGACAACTCATCACCCCGGTTTGCACCGGCAGCACCGATCAGGCACAGCGTAAATCCCCACACACTGTACGCCACAAAGCAATAAATCTTTGTTATACTTCAACACGCTCGGGTACATTACTGCCTCTCTCTCTCTCTCTCTCCTATCACGATCCTGGCCGCCGGCGAGAGTGGTCCAATTGGATAAACCGCAGGAAAGACACGGAGCGGAAAAGTAACCGCGTTACATTGGCGCCCGAACAGGGACCTGACAAATAGGAGAGACAGAGAAAGAGGCAAGGGGTAACGAGAGAAACGGCAGCTCAAACGGGAAAACCCAGGACCATGGAAGGAGTGGTCAGGAAGGGGTGGATATACACCCCGAGTAAGGAACAACTGACGGAGCTACTGGAAGAATACGATATCAGCACGGAAGGCACCTTGGACGAAATGAGACGAAATATGGGCAGCTATGTTGGACAGCACCCGGAACAATTTCGGGTCCCAGAACCCGTCGTCAATACGGAAGAGGCCAACCGTAAGATCATACGAGCCCCTAGTCCTGCTCCGTCCGAAGCATCCAGCACAGTAGACACTATTAACCAAATTCGGAAATGGGGATGCCGATTCGACGGCAAAGACCCCGTCGCATTCCTAGAACGCATAGAGGAACAACAGGTTGGGTACGGACTTACCAAAGCCCAAATGCTAACCGGGCTGCCAGAGCTCCTACGTAATGACGCTCTGTTATGGTATCGGAACCACCGCGCCAGCTGGACCCACTAGGATGACTTTGTCCGCGCCTTTCGGGAACAATACCTGCCGCGGCGCTATCGGGCCCAACTGGTACAGGAACTACAACATCGGCGCCAGCTGGAGGAAGAGCCATACGCTAAATACGCCACAGCGGTGCTCACCCTCATGCGGTGAGCCGGCCGCCTGGAGGTGGACGAACAAGTAGAGCAGCTATACGAGGGCCTCCTACCCGAGTACAAACTTTACGTGCGGCGGGATGATGTCAGGACACTCGCCGAGTTAAGTTCACGGACGGCGGAATTCGAGGCGATCACAGCAATCGGTCCCAACCGCCGAGCCTTGGAACGACCACGACCCCCCACCCTGGCCGCAGCATATAACCGCCAGGAATGCTGCTGGAGGTGTAAGGAGCGAGGACATACGCGAACCGATTGCAGACGACCCGCCTGGAAGTTCTGCTCAGAGTGTGGCAAGGATGGAGTCCTGACACGAGAATGCCATCCAGGGAAATGCCACCCGGGCCGGGGCGAACCAGGCCGAGCCCCGGTCCCTGACGGAATCAACATAGAGTATGAGCCGCGCCCGTTCGCCATCGTCCGCTTGCGGGGACATGCCGTGCGGGCCCTCATAGATTCCGGCGCAGAGGCCTCCTTCATTAACCGCGGCACCGCCGACCTGGCGCGGCGATTGCGCTGTACGCCACGGCTCGAGGGAAAAGAGATCAGGCTGGCGAATGGGACGACAGCCAGCCTCGCCGGCACCGTGCGGCTGCCTCTGCAAGTGGGGCAGCGCGTAGTTAGCCACGATTTTTTCGTAATGCCGAACCTGATTGAAGACATGCTCATTGGGGCCGACTTGTGGGCCCGATTTCAGCTACCCTTATGTCCCCCGGCGGCCCCGACCACGGCCGCGACTCCGCTCCGTCTCGCACCCCTGAGCACCGACGCAGGAGGCCTTGCGCTTATGACCACACTACAGCGACAACAGTTGCAGGAATTCCTAGAGAAAGAGTTCCAACAATTCGCGACCGTACCAGGGCCCACGCCATGCGTACAGCACGAGATACGAGTGAAGCATGGGAGCCGGCCCATCAAACAACGGTTTCGACCCCGTAACCCGGCGATGCAAGGCATCATCGACCGAGAGGTCCAACAAATGGAGCAGCAAGGCATCATCGAACCAACGCATAGTCCGTGGAGCTCCCCGGTCGTACTAGTCCAAAAGAAAGACGGTAGCCGGAGGTTCTGCATAGACTTCCGGAAAGTGAACGAAGTCACGGAAAAGAATGCTTACCCCTTGCCGCAAGTAACCGCCACTCTGGACAAACTCCGCGGCGCCCGGTACCTAAGCACCATCGACCTCAAGAACGGGTACTGGCAGGTGGCTCTAACCCCCGCCAGCCGCCCTATCACTGCCTTCACGGTTCCCGGCCGCGGGTTCATGCAGTTCCGAGTGATGCCGTTTGGACTACATTCCGCCCCCGCCACGTTCCAACGTCTCCTAGGTACCTAGGTGCTGGGAGCGGACCTGGAGCCCCATGTCCTGGTATACCTAGATGATATTATCATCACCACACGGACCTTCGAGGAACACCTGCGCGTCCTACAAGAAGTGTTTCAACGACTCCGAGCAGTCCACCTTCGACCAAACCCGGACAAATGCCAGTTCGGGCGCAACAGCCTCCGGTACCTGGGGCACGTCGTAGACGCGCAGGGGCTACGAACCGACCCCGAAAAGACGACCGCGGTCGCCAACTGGCCAACCCCTACGACTATACGGAAGGTGCGCCAGTTTCTAGGGATGGCCGCGTGGTACCGGCGGTTTATACCACAATTCGCAAGGACCGCCGCACCGCTTACCAAGTTAACCCAGAAGTCGGCTCGATGGCACTGGGGTCCACAGGAAGAGGCAGCCTTCCAGGCACTAAAAACCGCTCTCACCTCCACCCCGATGCTCGCCTGCCCGGACTTTGCACGGAGATTCGTGCTGCAGACGGACGCCAGTGCCCTAGGCCTGGGAGCCGTGCTTACCCAATAATTTGAGGAAGGGGAACGCGTCATCGCATACGCTAGCAGAATGTTGAACCCCGCCGAGCGAAACTACAGCGCCACATAATTGGAGTGTCTGGCGGTGGTCTGGGGTATCCGGGGCATACGAACGTACCTGGAAGGATATCGATTCACCGTGGTCACCGATCACCAGGCACTGCGATGGCTCCACAGCATGGATTCCTCCACCGGTCGGCTGGGCCGCTGGCGGTTCGAGTTACAACAATACGATTTCGAGATCAAGTACCGGCGCGGGGCCGCCAACCAGGTCGCTGACGCCCTATCCCGGCGACTCGAAGTCTGCGCCCTGAAACGGCCCGCCCACAACCAATGGTATCAGCGATTAGCCGATCAGGTGCGCCAGCAACCACAGCAGCACCTCGACTATCTCATTCGTGAAGGACGATTCTTCCGTCACCTCTTACACGACCTCGACTTTCGCGATGTCCCGAGCCATGAGCAATGGAAGGAGTGCGTCGCACGGAAGTGGTGGCCGGAGATAATGCGACTATATCACGACGAACCCTCCGCTGGGCACCTAGGGATAGCCAAGACGATTGCCCGGCTCGCCCGACGTTTCTACTGGCCCGGCATGTACCGCGACATCGCCCGTTACGTACGGCGGTGTCCGAGTTGCCTGGCCCATAAAACCCCCCAGGGTCACCCGGCGGGCAGACTACACGCCACGGCGGTCCACGCACCCTGGGAACAAGTCGCTAGACCTGGTCGGGCCTCTGCCCCGTTCAAGCCAGGGACACCGGTAGCTGTTCACGATGCAGGACCACTTCACCAAGTGGTTGGAAACCAGGCCATTACGACAGGCCACCGCTAGTGCCGTGGCCCAGGCTATCCTGGCCCAGATCGTCCACCGGCACGGGTGTCCCGACGTCATCATTACGGATAACGGGACGCAATTCGTGCCCAAACCCGTTCGAACGGTCGCCCAGAACCTCGGGATCCACCACCGGACCACGCCTATTTACACACCACAGTGTAACCCCGTGGAACGTGCCAACCGCACCGTGAAGACGATGATAGCCCAATACGTGCAGCGAAACCACCGGCGGTGGGATAAACACCTCCCCGCTCTCCAGTACGCATTCAACACAGCCCGAAACGAAGCAACCGGAAATACCCCGACCTACCTGAACCATGGACGGGAGCTGGCCGGACCACTCTCCATGGAACGCGGTCGACTAGCGCCCGTGGGACCACCGAATACGATTCAGCGGCAGCTGAGCTCGTCCGCATCAATCTGGCTCGGACCTTTCAGCACCAGGAGCACCACTACAACCTGCGGCACCGATCCTGGCATCCCCAGGTAGGGGATCAGGTATGGAATCGCGACCATCTCCTGTCCGATAAGAAACGGGCCTTCAACGCAAAGCTAGCACCCAAATATACGGGCCCCATGAAGGTACGACGCATTATCTCCTAGGTCATAGCCGACCTCCGGGATAAACGGGGACACTGGTATCGGGGAATACATGTACGGGACATGAAACCCGCTATCAGCGACGAACGAAGCAGCGACGAACCCCAGAGCCCGGAGACCCCGCGAGCCGGCCCTGTACACGCCACGCACCGACCGGTAAGTTCGCCGCGCGCCGCTAGGCGGCGCTCGACGGGCACGTACTCGCAGGCAAATGTCCAGAGCCGAAGGTATATAAGGCCAACGATCCCCCGGAGCGAGACACTGGCGAACACGCTCGATCTGAGCAATGGAAGACGACGAGCAGACTCTCCGAGAACTAATCCGTCCGATGTCTCCGGAGGAGGCAAACGCCACGTGGCAGCATTTGCTGGCCGGAGCCGGGGCGCGGGAAGCCACCCCAGCCCAGGCGCGGGCACCGCCCGTCGGCGCGCCCACCCGGCGACCGGCACCACGGGTGGGGACCTCGACCCAAAGGTCCCGCGACGCCGACGAACGAAAATTATTGGCATTGGCCGGGTACGCACCGCCGCCTGCCACCGAGCGTCCCAGGGGCCAGCCCCACGTCCGGCCCGTGGGATGGGCAACCAGCAACAGACCGCCGGCCACGTTACCGACCTCGGCTCGCCCAGGTCCTCGAGTCTTCCGGGTGGAAACGCCGAGACGTAGGGTGGTCCTGCGGACGCCACCAGGGGCACCACACGCCGCCCGGCGCGCCCCCGCAAGGATCGAGGCCTCCGCCCCTCCACCCACGACACCACAGGCGCCACCACCACCAGCGGCAAAAGGAGGGGTAAACGCTCCCCGGCACACCAAGGATCAGAAGACGCTCATGCGCGAGCTCTTTGGGAGCGATTCGTCGGGGAGTAGCCGGGAACCTTCCCCAACGACCAGGACACTAGCCGAAAGAGGGTCCAGTCGACCTTCCCCCTCCCCCACAACGAGGGAAAGCCAGGAACTTCGGGGGCCTCGACGGACCGTAACCCTGCCGGACGGTACCCAGGTCACGGTTACCGGGCGGCCACCTTGCGCCAGCGGGCCTACCGGGTTCACGTGGGCAATGCCCGGTGGATTCTCCACTTCCGGGAGGAAGCCCTCTACCGCGCCCAACGAGCCGGGCCCCAACCTGGCGAGGAGGTGGTGTAACGAGGCGCTGCTACCTTGTTTCTAATCGTGGGTTTTGTTTATTATATAGTACAGTATTTCTAGTACTACGCATTTGTATTCTCGACCGTTGTCGATGTGCGAAATAGATTTATGTTGAGTTCTCCGAGTCTGTACTTATTTGCGACACCCGATACCCGTTATAAGACTAGCATACCGAAAACCCAGTAGTCACACCGATCGCCGCTACGCGGCGCGAACGCGAGGTTGAAGCAACACTCGCAGTTAAATTTCCGCGGCCGCCTCTATAAAAGGGGGGCTCGCGGAGCCCTCGTCACGAGTCAGGGGGTACAAACTCCTCGTATTTTAGAGGTGACGGAAGTGATTAGTTCGCTTATTCTTTCGGTACGTAGGCCGAGGGCAGCACAGTCGGCCCGGCCCCCACTACCACTCGTCAGATGTCATATTGGACATATACTGTTTCCTATAGTTTGTTGTTCACCAGTTTTCTGGAGAAGTTCAAGCGATTTTGGAAGCGATAATTTTTATTTTTATTTTGCGACAGGAGTGTTTTTTTACAGGAAGAGCCGAGCAAGGAGAGAGAGAACGTGTGGAGATACAATATTTCTATTTCTGTAAGTAAATATTTGTATGTAAATTTATAAATTGGTTTAGATATTTTCACAATGTTGTTCGTTGATCTTTAATAAGGTCTCAGATTTGTTAAACACATTGGAGAGACATGTATTAAAAGTAAGACGTCTCTCTTTTATACTCTGTTAAACGTATTTTTGAGAAGTTTGTGTTGTCTGGATCTTTCCACTCATACATTTCTTTATTCCCTCCAAATTTATCTTGGTTTATGTCTCCTTTATTTTTATCAAAATATTCATTCTATTTATTTTCTGAATAATTTATCATATATGATTCTTTGCCTACATGTATTCATACCATATTGATTGTTTCAACATTATATCATCTATTATTATTGCCTTTATTTCCATATGTTATAAAATTGTAAGTTTTTATTTTCTCCATTGTTGAAATTCTTATTATGAATTGTATCACATCAATATTTATCGTTGCAATTTTTCTGTACTTTATTGTATCTGTACAGTGAGTCTTTATTTTTCAGATCTATTTTGTAATATACTCTTAAAGGCATTGCTTCATATATTTTGAACACATATATTATCTAATATTTGTACTCTTTGCATGCAGTTATTTCCTTCTTTTCATAAAATGTTAAGTTTTCATATTTGAATAATATTTGAAATATTTACTATTAGTTTCATTTCCTTATTGTACATTTCATTTCATTCTTATTCATTATGTGTAATGTTCTCATCGTATGTAAGTTGAAATCAATACAGTTGTAATTACATTTCTATCTCATGAGACATTTCTTTATCTACATGTTTGTAAACCTTTGACATAGTGCAATATAAATTTAAATTGACATGTACATGCTTGTACATTTGAAATTGTTAGGAACGCACAATATTCTTGGCGTTATCCGTTCATCACAAGAAAATTACATGATATTAATAATTGTTAATTTTTTATTTCCTTTTACCGTTTTATTAATTGTTATTTACCTTTTTCTTTGTT